AAATATGTCAATAATAGTTAAATGCATCCACAATATATTAACAAAAATCACAGATTAGTAATATGGAATATTTATATACCCTAACAAAATTTACATGCTATATATATTAGATAAATTTATTTCGATGTAAATTTGAAAAATTATATTATTTTAAGAAAATAAATTCTTTATAATATTAATTTATGAAGCTATAAGTTTAGTTTTTAGCAAAAAAAATTTNAATGCATCCACAATATATTAACAAAAATCACAGATTAGTAATATGGAATATTTATATACCCTAACAAAATTTACATGCTATATATATTAGATAAATTTATTTCGATGTAAATTTGAAAAATTATATTATTTTAAGAAAATAAATTCTTTATAATATTAATTTATGAAGCTATAAGTTTAGTTTTTAGCAAAAAAAATTTCGAAGTTTATATTATCTTTTCAAATTAAAGTATACTAATATTTAATCAAACTCTATTTATATTACTTTATCTAAAATGAAATACTAATCTAACAAACAATAAAATATAGAAGAAGAAACAAACACATGTTTAGAAAACATGTATAATATGGAAAATTGGAAACAATTTGTTTGATTAAAACACTTATAATATAATATTATTATGTTTGAAAAACATTTATTATTCATAAAGTAAATACGTTAATTATTATAATATATATATATCAATTTACAAGTGAAAAAAAATGTTTATATCTCTATAATATTATTTGAGAAGTCACTTTCTTATGTGTCGCACTCACGTTAACTCTCACGCTGGTTGATTACTATGATACCCCTAATGAATTAAAAAATACATTTAAATATTATTATTTCCTTATAATTTTTTTTTCCAAATAACAATATAAAATAAAAAGGAAACATGTATAAAGTTTACAAAACTATTTAAAAACGAAAATATAAGTATATAGAAATATGGTTTCATAAAAATGGAAAGTTCACAAAATAGTAATATTTAATTTAAATATATTTTAAATAACATAAAATATAATTTTGAAGTAATAAAATACTTTCCTTAAATCTATATCTTCTTAGAAAAATTTTTTTTTTAGATAACGTGATTTCATAAAAAAACATTTCACACATATAATCTTTATGATATTAGAAAAATAAATATTTTTTCTTTACAAAAATAATTATAAAAAAATAAAATATATATCTTTTCAAAGTAATAAATTTGTATTTATATATCTATCTATTTTCTCAGTAACATAAAATAATTAAGTAACATAAACTGATATATGTGTAATTAACAGAAAAATAATAATTGTAATTAGTATTAGTGAAATATTTTTAAGACAACAAACAACTTAATATATTTAAAATAAAATAAAATTTTATAGTTGAATTCAGAGAAATAGATGGAGTCCAATATGTAATGTTAAATCGACTATAAAAACAAAAAAAAAATTGACTAAATATAACATATCTAAAATTATATATATAATTAAAGTAATATAATATTATTAATGTAAATTATATAAATTATTTTTATTTTATAAATATTTATGTCCGTGCATGAGCACGGGAAGATCACCTAGTAACTAACTATAAACGAAAACAAACACCCGCGCGGTTGCGCGGGTTAAAATCTAGTAATTACTTAAAAATATAGTTTGTCATTGCTATCATATGGATATTTGTATTTCTCACTTTCAAATAGTCAGTCTACTATCATTGATGTAGATGACTTTAATCTAGAGCTTTCTTTTAATATAAAGCACAATAATTTATCTTTTGTATAAAATTCAAACCAATTACATAAATTAATATATTCATACGTGTATATTAATTTAGTTATTGTATACCCCAATCGCTTTTGTAGTCTTTCTAAAAAAATTAAAAAATATAAAAATGTCAAACCAAATTATATTTAGTCATTCCATATGGATAATCAAGGAGGAATCACAGGTCAAAAAGTAAAATAAAATTATTTGATATAAAATATAAAATATTATGTTTAAAAATATCATATCGAAACTTATTTAATACATCTACATTTTATAATTTTATATTATTATATAGAAAATAAATATGTATTTATAAAGACAATCATTTGGTGCGCAGATCAAGCTCGTGTTATCCTTAAATTAATGCTATTTTGGTAATTTTCTCATTGTGTGTTATTTTAAGGCAAATTGCACAATATGACACAAAAATAGTTTTAATTGAATATCTAACCATATCATGTTAGGTGCAAGGACCAAAATTCCCTCCCACATATGACTCTGCTTCTACTTGCACATGATGTGACGTTTCGGAAGAAAGAGACAGGAAAGACTTGGTGAGTTACAAGACAAAGAGTTGTAGTGATTTTAAAGGTTTGGTTCATATTTTATAGGTAGGGTTGCCACCGGGATTTGGGGTGGTGAGAGTTTCAATCGTTGGTGTCTGAGAATTTAGGGTTACATCTTTGGTGGTGGCATGGAGAAATAGACGGAGAGAGAAAATATGACTAACAGAAGAGAATTTACGATGACATTATAACCTCCACTTATCTGAAAATACTGTGGGAAGGAGAAAGTGACCGTGGGCTTGAGAGTATCCCGCAATTTTGTACGGCGTTGAGGAACATGATGGTTGCATCAAACGCAGAAAAGTTCTGCACCTTAGTTATGTTGCGTTACCGATGTATATGATAGCTTTGAGGGTTAGGTTTGCAATTAACAAGCATACTATACTATATATATAATGTGTTGTAGTAAAAATAATATAGTATATCGGATTTTGTAACTGTATGTATGCGTTCTATACTAAGTATATTGTAGGGTTGTATGGATCAAGTGAATGCTAGTGTGTTTTTTGTTCAAATAGTATATATTTCTCCCAGACACAGTGACATCTCTGAAACATTAGTTCATAAGAAATCAAATGATTGGATAGAGATGGATCACGTTACGTAACTGAAAAAAATGCTTTCCTTTAGAGGTGAAGTATATCGTGGTGTAGATGATTAGGATTCAATTGTTCGACAGCGAGAGGCGGAGATGGTGGAAACCAAAATAGACACCGATTAATGGGTTTGACGTACTTTACTATTTATGGATAGAAAAAAGTATAATATAATACACTGTTAGTAGTAAAACTTCAGTCATCTGTGAACCATTTAGAATACAGTTAGTATATTAGTTTTTAACTGATTTTTTTGTATGAGTTTTTTAATTTGTCTAGTTCAGGATATATGTTTTTTTGTAACATTTCAGGATATCTGTTATATGCATAATTTACCATAGTTGTTGTATGGATAAATGTATTAAGTTAATCTTGTTCAACGATTGAGGTGTTTACGACTTCAGAGGGGGCTGGCGAGGAGGGGATTTACGAGGCCAATTTAATTGGTAGGGTGGACCTGAGGCATGTGAACTCGAAGGTACTATATGTCCACGGGATCCCGTGGTAAGGAATAGAGGGTGGATTGTCTCGAAAATAGCAAGTTTTGTTCTGCAATTGGTTTGATTTTACAGGGTGGATTATAAACACGTGCAAGAGAATGTGAATCACCATGTCGAGAAAGGGCTTGTGATGTGAATATCACCTTCTGGGTTGCGCACCTAAACCGCCTACTAGTGAGAGCTCGTACTACAGCTTGTGGAATAAACAGGCCATCTCTTTGCTGCATCTGTCAAGAAGACACTGAGGCTCGCGATCATCTGTTTCTCCACTGCAGGTTCAGTAGCTTTCTCTGGCAGCAGGTGCTGGCGTGATTTGATAGAAGACATATGTTCCGTGATTGGCAGGACATGGTCGCTTGGATACTCTCCGGGAGATTTTAGCACAACTCTCATTAGACTTTCTATTCAGGCTACCATATTCTTTATCTGGAAGGAGAGGAACAGTAGACTTCATAGCTCCACTCACACCTCCCACCCAGCAACTTTCAAGCAAATAGATCGCAGTATCAGAGACTCTATCCTTGCCCGCACCAATAGAAGAAAATTCATGGACTTCCTAACTCAATGGTTCATCTTTGAATAAGATGCTCCTTCACCTTTAAATTTTTAGGTTACTTTTTAGGTTTTTTCCACTTTTTTTTGGGTCTTTTGTAACGTTTAGCTCCGCCGAGCTTCTGTTTTGAACTTTCCAGTTTTGATAATAAAATTTACATTTTATCAACAAAAAATAATATCGAGTTCATGTTGTACTATTCACAGCTATAAATACTTTATAATATACTCGCTCCGTTTCATATCAAGTATTATAATTAAAAAAATCTCTTCTTATAAAATAATTATTGTTTTCAATTTTGAATATAAAATTAATTAATTTTACTATGCAATTTATTTTTTTTATTGGTTGAAATGTTGTTATGTGTAAGTAATTGTGTTTTTATATAGAAAATATACAAAATTAATTGTTTTTTTAATCTATGTTCACAAAATTAAAATGACATTTATAATGAAATGAAAGAAATAATATACAATAAATAATAGAGATCTTTTTTCTGATAAAGAAATGATAGAGATCTTGTGCACATGTATTGTATTATTTAAAACTAATATAGTATTTTAAGATCTCTTATCAATGTATGCGAATGTGGTATTCAGAAAAGGTTGTGTTCATGCGTTGAATGGCGTTATGTTGTACTTTGCTTATCATAAGGACCTTTTCATTTTCATCTAACTCTATTCCTTCACTTTTACATGGCTATTTCCTTCATTTTCTTTCTTTTCATTTTCTTTCACTACTTCACCTTATTTTTAAGAACTTTTTCCTATTTTCAAAGAAATTTTACCCTTTAAAATAACACACAAAAATAGTTTTCCAAACTTTCCTAATATGTACATTTTTCCAGTTACATGTGTCCCACCTCACATGACTTGTCTGCATTTGTAATACTATATTATAGCTTATAATTAATAACAAAAAGAGAAAAAATATTTTTACAAACTTTCCTAAACTGTATTTGTTTTTTCCAATTCCATGTGCCAAGCACCTCACCTCACATGACTTGTCTGCATCTCCGATCTCCATCACTGAAATCTATATTTGTACTACTATAAAACTTAGTCTCTCACTTCTTCTTTGCTCTCTCCGTCTAACTCCTATCTCTTTCCGTCTTGCATGCAGGCTCGCCAAATGGTATCTCTAGGGCTCTCTTGTACCAGAATCTCAAAAATTATAGTTTGACCTCCCGGTCTAACTCAAAACATTATTTTTTCTTTTTTTTGTTGTTGGTGAACAGGCACACCCTGAGAATATATTGGACAAGTTGATTAAGATTACAATAGAGAAACTCGGAGTCAAAGAGGATGAAGTAAAGGCTAATTCCAGTTTTGTTGAGGATTTCGGTGCTGATTCTCTTGACACTGTAAGTTAATAACCTTTTCATGTTTAACGTTCGTTTGTTCAGTGAATTTATTGATGTTTTCAAGCTCATATTGACTCGCGATCACCACGTTTCTTTATTTACCTCTCTATTAGGTGATTTTCCCGTGCTCATGCACGGACATAAATATTTAAAATAAATATATTATAATAATTGATTGATATTTACTTCAAATTTAAAATTAATTTATAATTTGTAGATATAATTTATATTATAATATTATATTAATTTAATTATATATAATTTTAGATATGTTATATTTCGTCAGTTTTATTATTTTTACGGTTGATTTAGTTATCATTGAGATATATTAGATTCTATCTATTTCTCTGAATTCAACTATAATCTTTTTTATTCTAAATATATTAATTTTTTGATTAATTGTCTTATTTGCATTTATGCCGATTGTTATCTTAGAAATATAAGTATATCCCGGTTCTAAATTACATACTTAAGTAACTAATAAATTTTTGCAAGCTAATGAACATATATCAATATTACAATATTTAGACTGATTAGATGATAAACTGAAATTTATTTTAAATAATTTTAAAAATAAGGATTCTGATTTGTTTAAGTATTTTGATTATGGTTATATTTCCACAAACATAAAAACAAAAAATTAAAAATCAAAAGAGTTATTAAGAAAACATATAATTTTAACTATTAAAATATAATATATCTACTTTGATAAATTATATAATGTTATGATATTTTAAGATAATTGTAGTTATTTGATGAAAAAATGTTTATTATTAAAATTCATTTTTAGTTTTGTTTTTAATATATTTTAAAATATGCAGTGAAAATGGTATTGTTTTTGAGAAATTATATTATATAAGTAAATAGAATTTCTATTTTTTCTGTAATTGTAAGATATTATAGTCAAACCTATACTAAAATAAAAATATATATATTTCAAGAATACTAATTATATTTTTTTGTCAATTAAACATATATCATTTTATGTTACTTAATTATTTTATGTAATAATCTAATAAAATAGATATATAAAAAAAATACTTTTAAAGTCTATATATTTATTGTTGAAAATTATTTTTTAAAATAAAAATATCTCTTTTTCTAATATAAAGATTAATTGTGTGAAATTATTTTATGGAATCACATTATATACAAATATTGTTTTTCATCTAAGAATATATAGTTATAAAGTATTTTATTACTTCAAAATTATATTTTATGTTATTTAAAATATATTTAAATTAAATATTACTATTTTGTGAAATTTCCATTTTTATGAAACCTTATTTATATATACTTATATTTTCGTTTTTAAAGAGTTTTGTAAACTTTATACATGTTTCCTTTTTATTTTATATTGTTATTTGGAAAAGAAATATTAAAAGGAAATAATTATATTTAAATGTATTTTTTTAATTCATTAAGGGTATCATAGTAATCAACCAACGCGAGAGTTAACGTGAGCGCGACACATAAGAAAGTGACTTCTCAAATAATATTATAGAGATTCTAGAGCAACATATGGAAAAATAGAGAATACTATATATATATACAGATTATCCACAGACTTTGTGTTTCTTTTATTCAAGCTACAGATTTCCTATTGTTATCGATATGCACGTCCTCATGAGTCGTGTGGTTGGATTACAGGTGCAGATGGTGGCGGCCATAGAGGAGGCGTTTGGGATTGAAATAGAGGATGAGAAAGTAGAGTCCATGGTCACAGTTGAGAAAGCGGTTGAAGTCATTGAGGAGCTACTGAAGGAAAAAGCTTAATGGAACCAAAAATGAAAAACTAAACCCCTTATTTGAGATTTTATGTTGTTTTTTTTAACTAAGTATTGCTTTGTATTTGATTTTCTTTCGTGTAAAACTTCTTTACTTCGCCCCTCTGAATTTATGGGGAAATAATTGGATATACCTTCTACTTTGCTTGGCTTATTTGCAATAAAAAAGAAATATTTGAAATATAATAAAAGCCAGCTAAAACCAGAGAAATTAGGGCTCGGCAAAAAACCCGGATCCAAAAAACCGAACCAACCCGATCCAAAAAAGTAGTATCGAATCCAGGTTCGGTTCGGATCTATTCGGGTTCACAAATTTTAACCACATTTGGATATTTCTAAATTTCGGTTCGGGTTCGGTTCGGATCTTTGAGGGTTCGATTTGGATTCGGATAACCCATTTGAATTATATTTAAAATTAATTATATACTTTAAATTTCTAAAAATCTATAAAAATAATATATTACAAATAATTGAATAACATAAGTCAAAATGCCTAAAATTAACATATAATTAGTTTGATATGAATATTTGGATTGTGAATCAATAATTTTTAAAGTATTTTTGATGTTTTAAGTGTACTTTAGCAATTTTAGACATGTATGTTTGACTATTTACATATATTTACAAGTATTTTGAACAATTTCAAAGTATTTTATATATATTGAATGTTTTTTATATACATTAAATATAAAATTAATTAATATATATAGGTATATAAATCTCTTTCGGATATATTCGGGTACCCGAAATACTTTAGTTCAGTTTCGGTTCTTTAAATACCAAAATTTTGAACCCATTTGGATATTGAATCAATTTCGGTTCGGACTCGATATTACTTTTTTGGATCAGGTTCGGTTCGGTTTTTTGGATCCAGGTTTTTTGCCCAACCCTAATTTCTCTGGTTTCGCTGGCTTTTATTATATTTCAAATATTTCCTTTTTATTGTAAATAAGCCAAGCAAAGTAGAAGGTATATCCAATTATTTCCCCATAAATTCAGAGGGGCGAAGTAAAGAAGTTTTACACGAAAGAAAATCAAATACAAAGCAATACTTAGTTTGTGACAAAAAAAGAAGAAGAAGCAATACTTAGTAAAAAATACAACATAAAATCCAAGTTTTGGTTGGTTCCTTGACTCTTGTGAAATTTGTTTATTAAACCTTTGATAAGAGTGAAATTTGTTTATTAAACCTTTGATAGAATGCTCCCCTGTGAACTGTTCTTCAATGTCTTCAGACCTACTTTCTTGCATTTTTTATGCGTTTAAAACTCTTAGAGCATCTCCAAAAATACTCTAGTTTAGAGTTTGCAAAAGTTTATATTTGAAATTTTAAGGTGTTGTGCTGCAAAATCAGAACTTCAGATTTAACTTTAAAACTATTTGTACAGTGAAACATCTATAAATTAATAATGTTGGGACTACACCAAAACTATAATTTTTTTATTAATTTATAGATAATATTAATTTATCGATATATCAATTGAACCAAAAACTCAATTTGAGACTATAAAGTTATATTATTTTATAGATATTTTTAGTATATATTAATTTAAAGAGGCTATACTCTATTTTATACTATGGTCCTTATATTTATCTAACTAATTCAAATTCATAGAAATTTTATAAATAACTAGTACATATATAAAAATACTAGAAAAATATTAATTGATAAAATGTTACACTAAAATATAAAATTATAAATAGAAATATATAATTAAATATTAAAATACGAACAAAATACTACATTAAGTCTAATAATATTGTTGTTGTCTAGTTCTAATTTTAACTATCTTGATGTTTTTTTTAGAAATATTATGTGTAAAATATAAATTTATTAAAACAATTATGAAATATGTATGAGATAAAAATCTTTAAAGATTAAAAGGATAATAAAAAACATATTTAATAGTTAGAAATATGATATGTAATTGTAAGAACCAAAATGTAAATAAAAATCAAAAGAAAAAATAGAAATCATTATATTGTCCTTAATTTTGGTTTACATAATAATTTTATGTTCACTGAAAAAATCTGTTAGTAGTTCTTTCAACTCAAACCAACAAAATTTAAAATATAATCTTAGAATATATATATATATATATATATATATATATATTATTTTTAAATTTTCATTAAATTAAAATATAAAGTAGTTTTATTGTTAACTACGGACCAACTCCTAGTAAAATAATAAAAGAGTTGAATGGATTTCCTAATAAAAGATAAGGAATCTTATCTATGAAAATCTTGATTAGATTGAAATTTAATCTGAGAAGCAATGAAAAACTAAAATCTACTACAAACATCAACCATTTTAAGCTTTTCTGGGTGGAAGTAGCGAGACCAGCGATAGAATTTAGTTGCGTCTTTTGATGGGTGACGATAGAATCAGTGCGCTGCCGGATTCTTTGATAACTGAGATACTCTTACGGCTTCCGACAAGGGATTCTGTTAAGACAAGCGGTTTATCGACCCGATGGAGAAACCTATGGCTTGATGTTCCAGGGCTAGACATTAAATTCCTTTCTAGGAGTGCTGATACAATCACTACTAGTTTCATCGAAAGATTTTTGGAATTTAACCGTGACGCACGCCTGCGAAAGTTAAAGGTAACGTATGAAAAGTCAAAGGGTCATCCCTTTGGAATGAGAGAGTGGATCGCCACAGCTATAAGTCGCGGAGCTCAGCATTTAGATGTGGTTGACACACTTGTTGATCCCAAAGAGTTGATGCCTCTGGACATTTATAAGAGCAAGACATTGGTGTCTTTAAAGCTGGTAGAAGTAGGGTTGTCGAACCCCGGATTTGTTGTTTCTCTACCTTGTCTGAAGAACATGCATCTTGAAACAATTATGTACAGTGGTGAGGAGGATCCTTCATTCATGGAGAAGCTAATCTCAGGCTGTCCCGTTCTTGAAGATCTAACCGTGTTCAGGTCTTCTTATGATAACGTGCTGATTCTTCGTGTGAGATCTAAGAGTCTAAAAAGGTTTAGTGTAAGGTCTAACGTTAATGAATGCTGGATGAGTGTCTTGGATGGTAAGGAGTTTGCGCTGGAGATTGATGCTCCGGGACTCAAATATATGAGCTTAGGAGATAATAAATCTGAAAGAATCGTGGTGAAGAATCTGAGATCTTTGTTTATGATCGACATTGATTCCATATTCAATGTTGGGTTTGAGATTAAGTTTGGACAGAAGAAAGTTGCTATCCGTGATTTTCTCAATGGTATTTCTGACGTGTAAGGCATATGATCATCTCTCAGGTTACTCTGGCGGTATGGACACTTATACACTCTCAATGCATATATAAAACAATTAGTTCTTCGGAATGATTCTTACACCAACCAAAACTTAGTTCAGTTCTTTATGGGCAGCTGACAAAAAAAAAGATGTGACCTGAAACTGTTTTTTTTTTTGTTCTTTCGGCAGATATTTTTTAGTTACGTGGGATCCATTCCCATGTTTAACAACTTAAATCGTTTAGAAGTGTCCTTCAGTACCTGCTTCTTACAAATGTTACCCGATTTTCTTGGGAGTTTTCCAAATCTAAAACACCTCACACTGGTAATTTTAGTTCAAATTTATGATTTTTGGCTTACAAATTGTGGAACTGTACCAAAGTTTTTCCTTGTCTTTTTGGCAGTGTGTAGTGTATTTGAACAATGTAAACGTGGAAAAAAGTGAATCTTCAATTGTGCCTCGGTGCTTGCTATCGACCCTCGAGTGTGTTGAGATTAGAGAATTGATTACTGGAGACGAAACTAGGATAAAAGAGAATATATTGAAGCGCAAGAAGGAAACTTTGATGAATGCAGCGAGGTATATTCTTGAGAATTCATTAGTCCTCAAGAAGCTCATTTTGGTTCTCTCTCCTGTAACCAACCAAATCTCGGATACCACCAAGGAGCTTCTTACATTCAGAAAAGGGTCTCACGGATGCAATATCTACATGGGTTTATTGCACTCTGATGATAAACCTTTTCTACAACTTATTGGCTAATTTGGTATTTCCCAATACTTGTTTTTAATATGATATTGCATTTTCTCATACTCATAATTTTTCTCTATTAGTTGTTTTGCTTGGAGTAAGAACTATTCAAATCTGAGAACAATCTTTCTTTTTTGACTATGTGATCTGTTGGTCAACTATCCAATATCCATGTGGGTTGAACTGTTGGTATATGAGTTGCCAAAACGATTCTTCTTCCATTTTAACTTCTTTTCTAGCTTCTTCTGCATGCATGTGAGCTTTTAATGATCTATTTTCTTTCTGCGATTTCTAAAGATATGTTTAACTTCTCCAAAACATTTTATTTGTGATCATTGATGGATTTCATCTCTTTATAGTAGCATAATGCTTCTTAATGATTAGGGCTGGGCAAAAAATCCGGATCCAAATAACCTAACCGAACCTGATCTGAAAAAGTAGTATCGAATCCGAACCGAAATTGATTCAATATCCGAATGGGTTCAAAATTTTGGTATTTAAAGAACCGAAACCGAAACCTTTGTATCCACCACATCCACCTCTATAATCACCACGCCTCCAGTATCCACCACTGCCTCCACTCCATTACCACCTTCCACCACTGTTACCTCCATAACCACAACCTCCTCAACTATAGTATCTACCGCCACCCTCACCATGGTGTCCATCTCCACCCGTTCAATGGGGCTGAGCATCGTTTATAGCCTCCACCACTTTGTTCATGGTCACCACCGTTTACACTACGGTATCCACCGCTATCTCCACCACGGTCTCTACCACCATCGCTTCCACAGAACTGAACTATGGAGAAGATGGCAAAAATGAGAAAGGGAATTAGGAAAGATTTCAGATCGAAGAAACAAAGCACTGAGATTTCGGTTGTTTAGGTTTGTAGATCTTCGTTGGTTAGAGAAATTGTGTTTTATGTAGGATTAGAATTTGTGGTTACTGAAAATTAGGGAAAGTTTGATTAACCAAGAGAGAAAGAAAATAAGGAGATAAAGAGAGTAACAAGAAAGAAAAAGAGAATCTTGTTTGTAAGGGCAAAATAAACAATTTCCAAACATGAAGTGTCTTTTAATGATATCAGAAAGTTAAAATGTGTCTTCCCGTATAATTTTTTATATGTCTTATGCAAAGTCAACCACTTTGGAACTCTTCGGAACTCGGAAGTCTTTGTCTAATAAACTTTGACGTAACATGTTTCATTGATATTGATACTTTAGATATTGAACGTTATTCATCTTGTAATGCATATGATATATATCAATAATTAATACTACAAGACAAAGTTGTGAAAAAAAAAAATACTACAAGACAAATCAGTTTAATTCTAGCTCTATATTGTATACAAGTTTATGTAAATTTTGCAACAATGAGTCAATAAGTATGAACAACCTAAAATTTAAGAAAAATAGAATTTTGTGAGTTGTAAGGAAAACAAATGTACCACGATACAAATGTATGAAGAATGGTTAATGTGGAATATATGAATAATAAATTACAAAAATACTGCGAACAAGTTCTATTAATAACAACAATACAACTTCAGATTTTAAAAATCACACACTTAAGGTTGAGGAAGAGCTGTTAGAAGTTAATTAGGGTTCTAAGTTTTCTAAACTTTGAGACTCTTTTATAAAAATAAAAATAAATTTTTGGTAGTTGTTTATTTTAAACAAAACATTAAATGCCATTTTAAAAGTATATTTGAATGAAGAAAAGTTGTGAAATAAGAACAAGGAATAAAAGTATGATAATTGAAACGTATGATTGGACTTGCATAAATGTGAGCATTTAGTTGATGAAACAATTTCAAGAGTTATGGTGTCAAAGCAAGGATTTAGGTCTTCACCGCAAATGCAGAAAGCGATACCCATTGTACACTGAGACCACAAGCTTAAACAAATCTTTTGGTCAGCAATTGGTTTCAAGAATACTTTTCCAAAGTTGACTTTCTTAGTTCTTGTCTTTTACATACTAATTAACGAGGGTCTACCTTTGTGATTGTAACACTATTCAAAGTCATTGTTGGTGGACTACCACTTGTACAGTCACCATCTCCGGGGTAGAAACCGGGTTGCGAGGGTCTCATTAAAGTAAAAGAACTTGCATTGAGCATTAACACAACAGAAGCCATTGTTGGTCTACTCTCTGCCTTCTCCTGAACACATAACAAACCTATGTGAATGCATTTGATGATTTCGTCACTTAAACCTCTTGTCTGAATCAGACTTGGATCCACAATGTTTAACACTCTCCCTTCTCTCCAGTTTTTCCATACCTATTCAAACATTAACCAGAATAATAGTTCTAATTTAGTTAAGAGTCTAGAACTAGAATCTCAAAATAGAGTCAAAAACTCTTTCCATTCACTTACATAGCTAAGGAGAAACAATGAGCTTTTATCTTCAGGAGACCAATTATTTCTCTTGCCTGTAATGATCTCAAGAACTAGTACACCAAAGCTGAACACATCAGTTTTCACTGAGAATTTCCCGTTCATCGCATACTCTGGAGCCATATAACCACTGCAACATCAAATAACTTTTTTTTTTAGTTTTCTTATAGAAATGATATAAGTTAAAATGGTACTTTTTATGTTTTGGACCAGCTTACTAGGTTCCAGCAACTCTGCTTGTAAACCTAGCCTGACATGGTTGGTCTGTATCAAACAACTTAGCCATTCCAAAATCAGAGATTTTTGGATACATTGCATCATCCAATAAAACATTGCTTGCTTTAAGATCTCTATGGATAACTTTAAAACGAGAATCTTCATGAAGATAAAGAAGACCTCGAGCAACACCTGCGATTATCTTATAACGTGTTTCCCACTCTAATACCATTCTCCTATCAGTATCTGAGAAAGAAAACAATTTGGATTAGTCTCACTATATGTAACAAATAGAGATAAACCAAAACATACCAAATATGAAATGGTCGAGGCTTGTGTTCTTGAATAAATCATATATGAGTAGTCTTTCTTGTCCCTCAAGGCAGAACCCTATAAGCCTAACAAGATTTCGATGATGAAGTTTCGCAACTAATGAGACTTCGTTTATGAACTCATTGTCTCCTTGTCCTGATTTCATTGACAATCTTTTCACAGCTATCTCTTCTCCAGAATCAAGTACACCCTAATGGTCATTAAGAAACATACAAATCATAAACAAATGTAATTAAGATGATTACGTAAGACACACTCAATCTACTCACCTTGTAAACTACACCGAAGCCACCTTCTCCAAGCTGATTGCCTGGAGAGAAGTCATCAGTTGCTATTCTGATGGTAGCCAAGTCGAGTCGCAGTAAATTTTCATCTATAATCTGATTGTCTAAGACATCTTTTCCTGATCCAAGAGTAGCAAACCTTTAAAAAAAGGTCAAAACTCACAAGAAAATATTTTTGGGCTATTTTTGACTAAAAAAATTCACCTTCATGTATTTGTTTTTGCTTTCTTTGCTTCCTTCTCAGAATGAAGTAAAGGCAGATAACAAATATGGAAAAACCAACAACAGAGCCAACAGTGGCAAGTATAATTTTTGTTTTGTCTACTCCTTTCATCCAATTATGTAAAAGACCTGCCAGAAACAGGAAACTAATTGAAAATCACAAAATTTAAATAATTTCAGTTTATGTAGTAGATATGCAAGTACTTATGCAGAGTGGTCTTGTTTTTTTTTGTTGGGAAAACAGAGTACTCTGTTTTTTTTTTTTTTTTGCAAAACAGAGTGCTCTGTTTCCTTTTTTTTTCTTTGTGCAAAACAGAGTGCTCTGTTTCCTTTTTTTTTTGCAAAACAGAGTGCTCTGTTTCCTTTTTTTTCTTTGTGCAAAACAGAGTGCTCTGTTTCCTTTTTTTTTTTTTTTGCAAAACAGAGTGCTCTGTTTCCTTTTTTTTTCTTTATGCAAAACAGCTGTTTTACCTGGTTCTTGGTCTGATGGTGGATCAGGCTCATACTCACTCTCAAGATGGAAGAATCTCAAGTTAGTCTGAAACTGAAAACTACAGCTAGGACAAAACCACCTAAGCCCTGATCTCCCTTTCGTCGCGTTCCCAAACCCAAAGATGAGACACTCATTACAATCTTTCTCAGACAAATCCGGCGTGCACATCACGGCACCAAAGAGTGTCGTGTTAGGCAGAGGACCAGGACCACTTCCTTGAACATACTTCCTCTTAGATCCACCAGCTGCAGCAAGTCTTCTGAATCTGTTCATTAACTCGCTCTGTAGCCTTATGAACTCGTCCCTATCACCCGCTGATTTGTTAGGGTTTAGAGCCTCAAACACAGGATTCGTTTCGAGTACTCCGAAAATGGGTTTGTCCGAGTAACGAAACATACAATTCGTGGCCCTCCAGTAACCTTCTCTAAGCTGTGAAGAGGTGGTTGTTGTTAGATTTAGTGCGGCTTGGAAGACACAGTTACGGCAGTCTTTTGATAGGACTACTCTGTTGCAGACTCCGATGGCTTCTACTCGATCTTGATCCGAGATGTCTCCCACCGAGAGGTTGTAGAAGTTGTAGGTGTTGGCATGGAGAGAAGGGATTGAAGCGATAAGACTGTTGAGGTTTTTGGAGAAGTTGCTTTGTGGGGATGAAGATGAAGAATGGGAAGGGAACTCCCAGACAGAACCGTTTACGTTGACGGCATGGTCTTGTCCGAAGCTGAGAAATGGTAAGAACAAGAAGAATAAGAATAGCAAGTATTGTGGTTGAGAAGGAGAAGAAGAACTTGCCATGACAAAACTGGATTCTGAACGTTTTAGTTTTTCTCAATATATTTTTAACGAATCAAATGCAACGCAAGTCTCTGACTAAATAATTGAAAAGCCAAGTCTTCGAAAAAATCTTTTAAATTAGACGGTGACGTGTTGTTGATTGCGTCAAAGTATGTGGCAGCGTCTATATATGAAGATTGATATCAATAATTTGACTTTGAAATATGGGTTTATTTGTGAAATGACAAAAAAAATGAGGATATTAGATTCGTAGTAAGAAAATAGGGAGATAGGAAGTGAATAGAGGAAATAGATTAGAGTTTTTGTTAATTAGTGAAATATAGTTTTTTGTATGATCATTTGACATAATTTTCCTTGAAATCTTATATAATAAAGCAAGGTTTTCTCCCTTCTCCTTGTGCCACATCAGCATGGAGATAGGGGCAAAAAAAGACACATCAGCACCTCACCAAAACAATCTGCGTTTTTGTAACCTTGCTTGGAATGGATTTTTATTATAACTTGCGATGGCCTTTTTAAAACAAAATGACAAGCCCAATGAAATTTTAGGTTTTCTATTCGTCTTCTTGCCTCCGACATTCAGAGTAACAGTCGCAATTTACAGAATCTAGATCAACTTTAACCTCCCCGTAACATCTCAAGCTTCTATTGATACGTGCTTAACTCTGAGATTTTGCGTTATTATCCCCCTCCTCCCACCGGAAATCATTAATCGATCTCTTCGCATCCCACAGTAATCGGCTGAAGTTTCGAGTGTGTATTTTGGGTTCGGGTATTGTATACGGTAATCCCAATGAAATAATTTCTCAGACATAATGGACAAGCTTTCTGCAATCAGTAGCACATACCATATACCTGGGCACAACGTGTTACGCTTTCTTTTCTACTAGAAAGGTAATCCCAATAAATAATTGCTAAGAAAATTTATTTACTTTTCGAATCATTTCTTTTTTTATTTGATTATGTGATCTGCTCGGAAACAAGGTGTAAATTTGACTTTTAGTCCATAAAGTTCATAACTTTTTTCTTCTGCTTATAAAAAATTGATCAGTTTCAGGAATTTGAGATGGTTATTTGTTGAGTAAATGCTTGAGAATTTTCTTTTTAGTTGCAGAGTCAAACCACTGTTACTACAAGAAATTGATGGTTTATGTTGTCAACTCTCTTGGTGGTATTAGGTTTAGGTATGGCAGCCAGAAATATAGTAATACGAGTTGATCATCATGCTCTTTGGTTACAGAAGCTGCTAAGAGAGAGAGAGAGGGAGAGAGAGAGAGCTTTTGCTAATGACTTTCTATTTTGCATCACTGAGACATGAGAAAACTGATCATTTATCAAATCGATTTGGCAGTGGTGGAGTTGAATCTATTTTACCAAATTACATACTTGGTAAAACTCTTGGCATTTTTATTTTTGGAAAGGTCAAAATTGCTGAGCATCTTCTCACCGGCCACAAGGTTGCTATCAAAATCTTCAATTGTCGTAAGATCAAAAACATGCAAATGGAAAAACAGAGGTAAACAAATTCTCTCTAGCTTCAGAGGTTTCTCTGAACGAAATGATTTGACTTTAATTATATGAATGTATGTTTTTTTCTTTCCTTACAGTGAGGAGGGAGACTAAGATTCTCAGGTTGTTTATGCATCCTCATATCCTTCGTCAATATGAGTCATAGAGACCCTAGGTGATATTTATGTTGTTATGGAGTATGTCAAGTCCAGAGAGCTCTTTGATTATATTGTTGAGAAAGGCATATTGCAAGAGGACGAGGGTCGTAAATTTTTCCAGCAGGTTTTTATTTTCTCTTACTCACCCACAGCCACTGTCTTTGTAGTTTCCTTCTCTGAGTTTTGACTCATATCCGAGCAGATAATCTCTGATGTGGAGTATTGCCACTGCAATATGGTTGTCCACAGAGAATTGAAGCCTGAGAATTTGCTTTTTGACTTGAGGTGCAATATTAAGATGCCTGACTTTGGGGTCAGTAATGTCATGCGTGATGGTCTTTTTCTAAAGATGAGTCGTGGAAGCCACAACTACGCTGCTCCCACGATAAAAAGTTCCAGTCTTCTTATTTACTTATGTCTATAAATATCTATCTGAAACTTTAATGAATCATCACTTCCTAGGTTATATCAGGAAAATTATATGCTGGACCTGAAGTAGATGTATGGAGTTGCGGAGTTATATAGTATGCTCTACTTTGTGGTACCCTTCCTTTTGATGATGAAAACAATTCCAACCTTTTCAAGGAGATAAAGGTACTCTACTTTGATTCAGCTCAATGCCTCTTCTCAGTTAGACATGTATCTTCATCGAATTGCTCCAAGAAGCTCCAGCGAGATGTATCTTCATTCACTGGCATCGGATGTGATGATTCAAGTGATGTTGGTGTCTTCAGGTAACCAACATTTTACTTAACAGACTGAACTTACTTTGCAGCTAACTACATCATCTACCCTTAACTCTTCATCTGGCATGTGTCATGGTGTTGTATTGCAGGTACCGTGTGGAATTGTCCATTTCAGATAAAACCCATGATGTTGTGTTCGTCGTATGTACAGCTTTACGAGTTACAACACCTGGTGGTCTCAAAATATTTGACGCAACTGCTGCAACAAGCAGTACAAATGCTGTAACTAATATCATTTAAAGAGAGATTTTCAAAGACCTTGGGATAGGTGGGTTCCAGCTTTACCAGTTTATAAGTTGCTCTCAGTTACAAAATTTAAATATAAAACAAACTAACTTTCTCTCTACATATATTACATGTGACAGCTAGGATATGCGTGCAGTTTACTTGATAACTAAAATAAGGCTACTTCCTCCAAAACAAACGTACTATCAACAATCCAGTGACTGGAATAGCTGGAAGTATGTCTTCGAGAAGCTATGTCCCCAAGATTTTATATCTAAGTTAAGTGCATTGATTCATCAGTCACCCCATGGTTGGTTGTTGTTTTCATGTTGAATATGAGAACATTTTGGGCATATATATAACTTATAAATGGATGCCTCTGGTTTAGAGTTGACAGCCTATGATTTCACTAATTTTGCAATTCTACAGTCGTTGATATTCTACTCTTGCATACAATCATTTGTCTGCTCAAGGTTCATGCTTCAATAAGAACCTTATAGCTCATCTCAGTAGGACGTTTAATTAAAAACACACTATATTGACATGGTTTAGTTCTTAAACTGATCAACCTCATAAAAAAATTCTTGAAGTTTAAAATGCTAATTTTTCCCAACTCTTTAAAGTTCAATTTAATGGATATAATCATAATTAATTTTAATTTTAAGTGCTAACTTTTCCTTAATAGTTAATTTTTTTAAAAAAAATATTCAATTTTTAACGTAAATACAAAACAGAACTTTAACTTTTAATAATTTTCCTTCCTAATCATAACTTTTAAGGGTTAATATCTAAATAAACAAAAAAATAAATGTACATAGATCAAATAGAAATAAAACAAAATTTACTTTAATATGTTTGCGTATTATTATAAACCAAGGAACAAAAAAAACAAAAAACCATAACCTAAACCGTTTCGTGTTGGTTTAGCCATGACCTAGGCTTTAGTAGACCACCCTACATTAGGCCTAAAACTAATTAAAGAAAAAACATCCATATCTTTCTAAAGAAAAAAACACATTACACTAGCATCTCCAAAGATCATGCAAAATATTAATTGATTGATTTCACTGAGCTCTCAATTAACCACACACTCATATAGAAATGGTACACCTTAAAACCAAAAAAACACTACTTAGTACTAAGGATAGACAAAATAAAGTAGTGAGTAATCCGTGTTGGCAACACATCAAAACATCTCTCTACATAACATATGTCAAACTAACTTCCATGTTACCTATTGGCCCTAAAAATAACAGAAGTGACAATAACTTATCACCGTACCAATTTTAAGAATATATGTAATGTTATTATTCAAAACAAATGAAGAAATCTGTCCTTTTTCATGTAAAAATAGATCTTAGAAGTATGATATATATTATGACAAATGTTAGGCTCCCTCTTTCAATTTCTTTTAAAATTTAGTACTCACTAACAGCACAAACAAACAAAATAGTCCAAATGCTCCAAAATATTTAATACGAAACACATTTTTGGCACTTTCCTATAAACAAGTTAGCATTTCCGTTCACATGTCAAACAATCCAATCATTACTACTACACTAACATGAAATCTCACGAGTCACAACCATTTGAAATGCACCAAAATACTATGTTTGAGTTAGAAACCCTAAATAACAAACGTCAATCATAAACTAATCATTAACAAACATAATTATATACAATCCGCGCGTAGCGCGGACAAACCACTAGTATATTTATAATTTTCACTATTTTAATTTTAAGTTATATCAAATAAGGTAATCAGTACTGAATACAGATAGTCTACAACAAAATCTTATAAGAAACAAGATAGAACTAGGCCCATATTCAAACTAAACGCTAAATTCTAAACCTCAACACTAAGTTCATGAATCTATACTCAAGCAGATCCGAAGTAACTGTCTGTATAATGATTTATGTAGAAGATATACATGATTAGGCCAAGAATAACATTATTGACTCTAAAGCAAACAAAAAAAAAAGAATTCACGAAGAGAACTATTGAACTAAACAATGAAATGAAAGCATATGAAGGTGTTACAAGAGTATTTGGTGTCAAGTGATCCTTACATTAGTGTAATTGATCAAAAGAAGGATCCAAAATCACCAGCTTTATAAGAGTTGTTAAATGCATTAAAAATGCAAGAAAGTAGGTTTGAAAACATTGAAAAACAGTTCACAGGGGAGCATTCTATCAAAGGTTTAATAAACAAATTTCACAAGAGTCAAGGAACCAACCAAAACTTGGATTTTGTGGGTCAAGGAAGAAATGCAAGGTCGTGAAACTATTGCAATAAGGACGATCACTAAGAAGCATTATGCTACTATAAAGAGATGAAATCCATCAATGATCACAAATAAAATTTTTGGAGAAGTTAAACATATCTTTAGAAATTGCAGAAAGAAAAGAAATCATTAAAAGCTCACATGCATGCAGAAGAAGCTAGAAAATAAGTTACATGGAAGAAGAATTGTTTTGGCAAGTCATATACCAACAGTTTAAACCACATGGATATTGGATAGTTGACCAACAGATCAAATAGGCAAAAAAGAAAAGATTGTTCTCAGATTTGGATAGTTCTTACTCCAAGCAAAACAACTAATAGAGAAAATTTATGAGTATGAGAAAATGCAATATCATTTTGGAAACAGTTTTTGGGAAATATCTAATTACCCTATAAGTTGTAGAAAAGGTTTATCATCAGAGTGCAATAAACCCATGTAGATATTGCATCCGCGAGACCCTTTTCTGAATGTAAGAAGCTCCTTGGTGGTATCCGAGATTTGGTTGGTTACAGGCGAGAGAACCAAAATGAGCTTCTTGAGGACTAATGAATTCTCAAGAATATACCTCGCTGCATTCATCAAAGTTTCCTTCTTGCGCTTCAATATATTCTCTTTTATCCTAGTTTCGTCTCCAGTAATCAATTCTCTAATCTCAACACACTCGAGGGTCGATAGCAAGCACCGAGGCACAATTGAATATTCACTTTTTTCCACGTTTACATTGTTCAAATACGCTACACACTGCCAAAAAGACAAGGAAAAAGTTTGGTACACTTCCACAATTTGTAAGCCAAAAATCATAAATTTGAACTAAAATTACCAGTGTGAGGTGTTTTAGATTCGGAAAACTCCCAAGAAAATCGGGTAACATTTGTAAGAAGCAGGTACTGAAGGACACTTCTAAACGATTTAAGTTGTTAAACATGGGAATGGATCCCACGTAACTAAAAAATATCTGCCGAAAGAACAAAAAAAAAAAACAGTTTCAGGTCACATCTTTTTTTTTTGTCAGCTGCCCATAAAGAACTGAACTAAGTTTTGGTTGGTGTAAGAATCATTCCGAATAACTAATTGTTTTATATATGCATTGAGAGTGTATAAGTGTCCATACCGCCAGAGTAACCTGAGAGATGATCATATGCCTTACGTCAGAAATACCATTGAGAAAATCACGGATAGCAACTTTCTTCTGTCCAAAATTAATCTCAAACCCAACATTGAATATGGAATCAATGTCGATCATAAACAAAGATCTCAGATTCTTCACCACGATTCTTTCAGATTTATTATCTCCTAAGCTCATATATTTGAGTCCCGGAGCATCAATCTCCAGCGCAAACTCCTTACTATCCATTAGGTATAACTTATACCTTACACTAAACCTCTTTAGACTCTTAGATCTCACACGAAGAATCAGCACGTTATCATAAGAAGACCTGAACACGGTTAGATCTTCAAGAACGGGACATCCTGAGATTAGCTTCTCCATGAATGAAGGATCCTCCTCACCACTGTACATAATTGTTTCAAGATGCATGTTCTTCAGACAAGGTAGAGAAACAACAAATCGGGGGTTCGACAACCCTACTTCCACCAGCTTTAAAGACACCAATGTCTTGCTCTTATAAATGTCCAGAGGCATCAACTCTTTGGGATCAACAAGTGTGTCAACCACATCTAAATGCTGAGCTCCGCGGCTTATAGCTGTGGCGATCCACTCTCTGATTCCAAAGGGATGACCCTTGGACATGTCATACGTTACCTTGAGCTTTCGCAGGCGTGCGTCACGGTTAAATTCCAAAAATCTTTCGATGAAACTAGTATTGATTGTATCAGCGCTGCTAGAAAGGAATTTAATGTCTAGCCCTGGAACATCAAGCCATAGGTTTCTCCATCGGGTCGATAAACCGCTTGTCTTAACAGAATCCCTGGTCGGAAGCCATAAGAGTATCTCAGTTATCAAAGAATCCGGCAGCGCACTGATTCTATCGTCACCCATCAAAAGACGCAACCAAATTCTATCGCTGGTCTCGCTAATATGTTTGACCTAGAGAAAAGCCTAAAATGGTTGATGTTTGTAGTAGATTTTAGTTTTTCATTGCTTCTCAGATTAAATTTCAATCTAATCAAGATTTTCATAGATAAGATTCCTTATCTTTTATTAGGAAATCCATTCAACTCTTTTACTATTTTACTAGGGGTTGGTCCGTAGTTTACAATAAAACTACTTTATATTTTAATTTAATGAAATATTTTAAAATAATATATATATATATATATATTAGTTCTAAAATTATATTTTAAATTTTGTTGGTTGAGTTGAAAGAACCACTAACAGATTTTTTTATTGAACATAAAATTATTATGTAAACCAATTTCCAAACTATATTTTAAATTATATTTTAAATTTAATGCCAAACCACAAAAAAAAAATTTCCAAACTACAAAAAAAAATTCCAAACTACAAAAAAAAATTCGCACCAAAACTTTAATGTCAAAAATTACCGCAAAATCAATAAATTCAGTTTTCCTACCAAAATCGCTAAATCAAATTTTCTCTCTAAACCAATTTTTCGTCAAAATCACAAAACGACATTTTTCCTTCAAAAATGTAATTGAGTTTTCTCATCAAAATCATAAAATCAAAATTTTATACAAAACCAGAAAACCTAGTTTTTTCATCAAATTAGCAAATGATTTTTGCGCCAAAACAAAAAAAAAAGAAGTCAAATTCCCATTTTTTCGTCATAGCCGTAAGCTAGATTTTTCCATCCAAAACTTCAAAATCGAGTTTGTCCGCTAAACAAGTTTCCTACTTAAAAGTTAAAACATAATTTTCTGTCAAAACCATAAAATTGAGTTTTCTGGAAAAATCACAAAATTGAATTTTTCCGTTGAACCGTAAAAATAAAATTTTCTGCCAAAATGAGTTTTTCACCATAAAATTACTATATTTATCAAAATCATAAATTAATTTTATTTACTTATATTTATTCAAAATATTCGAAAGTGGGCTAACTGTAGCTCGACTCATTCATATATAAACTAGATTATTTCAATATGACTCACAATTTGTTGTCAAACATAAAGTAACCTTTTTAAAAAGAAAAATTCATTTGCCTTATTCATCTTACAAATTCTGATGATTAACAAAGAAGTCATTACTTTTTTGTGAAATTATTCGTTTTACTCATGCATCCTCATCTTCATCATTTATTTACCAAATTATTTTTATCATCACTATCACTAATCATAAAAATATCTAAAACTCTAAAAATAGACATCTACATTTTCATATCATATTTCTTACACACGCACATTATTTATCTTTCACTTTTTGTCATTTCATGCCAAAACCCATTTTTTATTTTATAAGCTTAATCGAAGTTATTATTGGTAAAAAATGAATGCTAACTTTCGTTAAAATGTTATATGTGTTTGGAGAAATGTAACTACACATGAATCTCACCGGATTTAAGAATAATATTTGAATTTTTTTTCCAGAGTTGTTTTGCGGAGATGAGATAATCAAACAAGCAAAAGGGCAACATGTACTCTTCTCTTAATTTCCATAATGCTCAAAATCACACAAACTAAAACACTTACAATCCAATGAAAATGTAACAGAGTAATAAATAACACACCACCAATGCCACAAGAAAACAGCATAACCGCGTGATCTCTAATAATCAAGCATCATGTGCTCGTCTGTTTTGTTGTGTCAATGCACAATGTAACTGGTATAATACAACAATCGTAACTGGGAAACCTACTAACCACTTTGCAGTACCGAAAATGGTCATATCTGTGAAAACAAGACGAGCTATGAAGAGTCTTAAGAGAAAAGCCACAAGCAAAGCAGAAACAAACACTTCTCCATTCGTCAATTCTAAATGCGAGTGGTTGTGGAACTCTAAGGGCAAGGAGAATCCCGGGTTCGAGGCTATGTCTAGCTCCTTCTTAACCTCCCTAATGATATCCATGGCAAGAGGGATACTCGAGCTACGCAAAGAAGTCAGAGAAACTGATGAGTACACATGTTATATTCGTTTGAGTTCATTAGGGAAATATATATTATTCTATACATGCGATCTTTATGTGAATATAACTTTCATCATAGATTAAACTCATAAGAGTTTTTCTGATAAAACTGAAATGTATTACTCGTTACTCCCTAAACAAATAGTCCTAAAGTGTGTCATAATGAGTCGATAGATACATTGATTCTACAAATTAATACTCAATAAATTAATAATTTCTATAAATTAATAGATTTTACCGGTTCCAACTTGGACCGGTTCAAAATTTGACACAAAGGGATAAATAATAAGATAATACTTTAAAAAAAAAATTATGTAAATATATGGTCCCGTTAAAATTATAAATTAATAATTTATATGTAAAAATATTTTATCTAAGTAAAAACCTATCATTATATTGTTTGTTTTATATTCACACTGAAATTATCTTTATATTTTCTTAACACTTAATATATTTTTTATGAGATTTAATAATAATATATCTAAAACCACATTTAAATTCTATACAATATATATTTAATACACCAAACAATATAATAATATAATATAAATAGAAAATTTGGTAAAATAAAAATTAATGTCTATATACTAAAATAAAATATTTTTATTTTCTTAGAATAAATAAGAAATATAAATAAGGAAAAATTTATAAATTAATATTTTTAAAAATTAATAAAATTTCAAAATCTCAACATTATTAATTTATAGAGGTTTTACTGTAGTACTCTTGGTGTAGTATAATTTTTGAAGTGGAATTCTTAACACTAAAAAAAATTAAAAACATTGCTTGACTAAATTAGAGAAGGTATGCTTAGTAATTGCTATAATCAAGTAAATAATCGATAAATATTTGATTAATACTAGAGGTAATGACTAAAATGTCAAATGAATATTAGAGTGATGGGTTAATAAAATAGCAAACAAGAAAATTTATTTGATTTTAAATTTGAACATATACTTTTTTAAAAAAAAATTGATACTTGTGAATGATTAATAATAGCTTAACCCCATTTTGAATACATGAAATTATGAAACGTGCTATACTGATTATTATGATGTTTTCATAAATTATAATATTATATAGTTGAGGAAAAGATTGATTTTAAGAGCAATCAATTAATAGTCAATGAAAAAGGTGATGATAAGCATTATAACAGATGATTCATTGTGTCGGTTTTCCAGCAAAGAAACGGTGGTTAATTATAGATTGGTTGTATACCTTTGTGTTTCCCACGTCAAACTGGGCTCCATTCTTGAAATAGTCATCACCGACGTCTCCCATCTTTGAACCCTAAAAGGATCGTATTTGAATTTCGCATATCTTTTTCTCAGCTCCATGAATCGATCTCCAAACTCTCCCTCAAAGTTTCTCACGTCGTTCTTGCTCACGTTAAAGAAGATAGGAATTACCAAGAGTTTCTTTTTGTTTGCTCGTTCCTTCATTTTAACAAGCTCGTCCAAGCACCACTCTGTCTCTGGATAACACGGTGAGAAGATAGCGAGCGCAACTGTTGACTCCTCGATGCAGGTGAATATACGGTCTAGGTCTCTTCCCCACCATTCGTCTCTGTCCATGAACACGTTGAGTATCCCTAGATCGGTCAAGCCCGACATGAGATGTTTGATGAAATCATCAGGTAACTCGGTTGCGCCTGAATTGACAAACACTTGAGGTTGTCGTGCTCTTGCTGGATCCACCATTGAGCGTTGGTCAAGGAAATGAGATGATGTTTCTTGTGTGTTTGGAATTTCTTTTGAATTAAACGGAAAACAAAATAAAGATATATAGTACACGAAGACTTTGGGAACTAATTAAATGTTCACCTGAAAATAATACATTAAATATTTTATTCGCTTCAATTTTTTTTTTCTTTTGTAATTTCCAGCTCAATGGCAATAAAATATCATAAATGTTGGTATATTGTGTAACTAATAACTGCTGGCTTAAAGTGATTAAATATTTGCTTACTTTCATTGATGCGTAATGAGCCAGTTGTAAACAAATTAATAGCAAAATAGTACTACAAAATTTCTATGTTTTAATTTTAATTTTTTCATGTTATCAAATATATTAAATTTTGATTATATATACAATAACATTATTTGAAAAAAATTAAACTATAGTAATTTAATAAATTCAATTATATATTTGAAATTTAGTAATTAGTAGATAAACATGAAATATCGTAGAAGAAAACATATATCTCTTAGAATGAAAAGAGAATTCCATAATAATATCGAAATGCAACACTAAATTCGTCTATGATTCTTTGCGTCCGTTTGTAATAGTGTCATTATTACATAGAAACGTAAATTCAAATGCAAGATAGACAATCATATCCTAAGTCTATTGTTTACCATTCACCACTCGCTTTCCACAGTTCGGATGATTATGCAACGACTGAACGACCCAACATAAAAGGACCAAGAACTACTGTAAGGAGGAAAATCAGATTGAGGAAATGGACAACATGATGTAACGAGAACCGGCTCTGAGAATTATGGGGCCTAAGGTAATTTTTGAATGATTTCACCTAAAATTACGAATTTGGGGACCTAAAAAAATTTTTTTGGGGGCCGGTATACATATAAAATTTTCATAAAAATTTAGGGGTCAAGGCTAATGTTTCATCCGGCTTTGCCCAACGCCGGCCCTCGATGTAACATAAAATAGTAAGATAATTTATTTAGATAATTTTATGTAAATATATGGTCCCACTAAAATTTATAATTTATATGTATACATATTTTATATAAGTAAGAACCTATCATTATATGTTTATTTTATATTCACAATAAAATTATTTTTATATTTTCTTAAAACTTAATAAATTTTTGATGAGATTTAGTAATATACACCTAAAACCATATTTGAATTATATGCAATATATATTATATACCCCAAATAATAAAATAAAATAAATATAATTTCAAATTTCAATTTCAAAAAAATAATAATTAATGTCTATACACTAAAAATAAAATATTTTTTGATCTCAGAATAAATATATATTAAAGTTAAAAATCTAAATAAAAAACTTTTATAAATTAATATCTATATGAATTAATAAAATTATAAAATCCCAACATAATTAATTTAAAAGGTTCTACTATTATAACTATTCTTATATTGTATATTTGCTTATTATTATTTTTATTATATTATATATTTACTTACTCTAAATTTTTTTTATATCAAATGGTAATATTACAATATATTTTTAATGTAATATTTCTATTTTTTATATTGTATATGTACTTCTTTTTTTTTACTATACATTTTTCAGATATATGCTTAATGTAGTTCCTCTATTTCTTATACTGTAGATATATTATTTATTTTTTTCTTATATTGTATATTTATTTATATTAATGTTGCGATTGAAGTGTAATATAATATTTCTATTTTTATATAGTATATTTATTTATTCGTAATTTTTTCTTAAATTTTATATTTACTATTAAATGTTAATTTTACGATAAATTTTTTAATGTAATATTTATATTTCTTGTTTTCTATATTTTCTTATTATTTATTTTACTATACATTTTTCAGATAGATGTTTAATTTAGTTTTTCTATTTCTTATGTTGTATATTTACTTTTTTCTTTCTTTTCTTATATTGTATATTTACTTATTATTTCTTATATTGTATATTTACTTATTAAAAATATTTGAAACTAATAAAAATGTAATAGTATACATTTTCAGATAGTTTTTAATACAGTTTTTACTTATTATTTATTATACTATATATTTTCAGCTCAACGTGTAATTTAGTTTTTCCATCTCTTATGATGTATATTTACTTATTTATTATTTTTCTTATATTGTTATTACGTATTCTGATTTTCTTGTTTTTATTATGCTAGATTTTTAATGTAATATTTTTATTTATTATATGATGTATTTACTTATTATTTATTTTTCTTATATTGTATATTTACTTATTATTAAACTTTTTTTAATATTAAATGATAATATTACAATAGATTTTTAATGTAATATTTATATTTTGAATATTGTAGATTTTACTATAATATTTTATTAATATTGTATATTTACTTATTAGTTCATTTTTTTCTTATATCAAATGAAAATATTAGTATAGATATTTAATGTAATATTTATTTTTCTGATATTATAGTTTTACTGATTGTTTATTTTTTCTTATATTGTATGTTTACTTATTTTTCATTTATTTTATACGTACCATGTAACTTCTTTTGGAAGAATGATTTTATGTTGATGTGAACACTCACTTCTTAGAACTCCAAATAGTCCATTTTTTTAGTAAACATGTAATTTATAGTTTTGATATTATATATTTATTTATTATTTATTTTTCTTATATTATATATTTACTTATTTTTGTTTTTAATATCACGTGACTTTTTTTGAAAAAATGATTTTATGTTGATGTGGACGCTCTATTAAACCTCAAAATGTCTATTTTATTAGTATAGATTTAACAAATACAACAATGTAATAATAAAATATTACTATCCTTTTCAGGTAAGATTTCTTTTAAACTAAATAAATTGACAAATTAAATAAATTGAAATTATAGTAATAAATGTTTTTTGCAAATACTTTTTATAAATATGTTTTCAAGTATTTATTTGGAAGAAAATATTTCAGCGTAAGGAGGAATTCTTAAAACTTTTAAGAAGGTTACTAAAGATTTTAGGAAGGATTTTTTTTTAAAAAAAAAGGTAAAAGAAATAAATTTGGAGCATTTAATAATGTTTGAAAAGAGAGTTTCATGAAGCTTCCCATTATTATTTTTTAAGTTTCTTTTTTAATTTTCAAAAAAATTAACAGCGCAACATAAACTAAAAAAAGGCTCCCTGATTGGTTATCCAATCTGGAGGAAGATAAAGTCAATTAGCAATTCATTTATGGTATTGTTGGAAGTTATATAAAATTGTTGAATTTGATCTTAGGTTAGATGAAAAAAAATATATAACTAAATTCATGATTTTTTGTGGATTATGTAAAACTTATTTAGGCTATAGTGAATTACTAGTTTTTTTCTTACTATTTTTCATTGTTCAAAAACGCGGCCTCGGCGCTCGGTTAATCGCTGGAATTACGTGAGCCGGCACCGCCGCGAGTTGGTGTTAATCGGAGAACTTTAACGAATCATCATTTTTGTAAATTTTAGGTACCAAGTCACATATATCTCTTAGATATGTTCTATTTTGATTACAATCTTCAACATTAGCATGATTAAGACTTTGAAATCGTGAAAAGGAAAAAACAAAAGCGGCTGTTGCTCTTAAAGAAAACGCAGAGATGTAGGTTGAAGACAGAGACGTTTTCGTCTTTCACCAGTCCATTAAACCTAAATATTGGAAATAGTGGCAAAATGAGCCACGGCACATTCGAATCCGGGCCTGGCGAGATTTGGTGAAGCGCATGACCACTAGACTAGGTATCACCTACGGTTTTAGAACACATATTAATTATATAATACTTAAAAATATATGAGAACCCTAAAATTATTCCTCGATTAATCCTCGTATAATCCTCCTATATATTAAAAGAGAAGTCACTTTGACACGTGTCACTCACACAGTCCTTCTCAGAAGAATTCTAGCGATTCTATTGGTTGATTTTTTAGAATTTATTTTTTGATTTATTTTTGGTTCGGCATGCAAATGGTTAGAGAATCGTATCTCAAAATTAATGTTAGGTTATTTACTTGCCTTACATTATATTTGATAACTTGCGAAAGAAGTTGGAAATTAAATGTCAAATCAAAAGTTGGAAATTACATTATATTTTCGAGAACTTGCGAAAGAAATTAATGTTAGGTTATTTACTTGCCTTACATTATATTTGAAGACTTGCGAAAGAAGTTGGAAATTAAATGCCAAATCAAAAGTTGGAAATTACATTATATTTTCGAAAACTTGCGAAAGAAGTTGGAAATTAAATGCCAAATATGTCAATCTCATACCATTAAGAAAGATTGACAATATATATACGATGTCCTAATGTCTGTAGATCGAACGCAAGTCTTAAAAACATCTATGGCAATCAAAAGTCTAAGCGTCTCCTCAGTGATGAGGGTAGCCATATTTTACTCTACATGACTGGCCATGGAGGTGATGAGTTTCTCAAGTTTCAAGATTCTGAAGAACTCAAGAGCCACGATTTAGCAGATGCCGTCAAACAAATGAAAGAGAGGCGTAGGTTTGTTTGTTTCACATTTTTCGAGCTTCTTAACTCAGATTATAATGTGATTCTATTTTACTTCTGTTTTGACAATGTAATGACTAGCTCAGATTCAAGGAGCTGATGATAATGATTGATACATGCCAAGCTGCCACTCTCTTTAACCAGGTACATCGTAGTGTCACCTTATCTGCAAGCTTGTTCTTAGCAGTCACTCTAATTTATGTTTTATTATGTATGAATTTTGACATCTAATCTATCATTTTTGGATACTCTCTCTTACATTTTCTTAACAATTGATTTCATAGCTTCAGTCTCCGGGTGTTTTGGCAATTGGTAGCAGTCTTAAAGGAGAGAACTCATATTCTCATCACCTGTATTCAGATGTATTGCCCTTCACTATTTCATGAATGGAAAGTACAATACAATTATGTGGCTAATTATTCGTCATGTTGTTTGGGGGTTGTTTCTTTTTTTATCATTGTATTTGATCTTCAGTTCTAATATTTATTTTTTTTGCTTTAGATTGGTGTATCTGTTGTAGATCGGTTTACATATTACACTCTTGCCTTCTTTGAGAGGTTCAATATATATGACAATCCATCACTTAACAGGTACCATAAGTCGATAACTAAAGCAACTCCTTTCACCAACATTTTCTTGTGTACTGAGTTATAATGTTGTAACGAGTTATATGTGTCTAATGTGTCTACACTTAGTTATCATTGCTAAAACTGGTACGCCTTTTTAGGTGAACTCTCTGATCTACAAACATCCGTTTACTTCCTGTTGTTTAGTTTGTTTAGGTCCTATGATCCGAGACAGCTAATGTCTACTGCCTATTACCGGACCGATCTTTACCAGCCAAAACTTACGGAGGTAAGGAGGATACTGATTGTGCAATACCTTGTTTTAACTTATATATCAGTTTCAATTACTATTCCGTTTAACCAAACCTCATTTTTAGTTGCTTGTTCTATCTTTGATGAACTATCTCTGTTTTGAGATGATTAGTGTGTACTCACTCTTCAAGCTCACTTATTATGTGATTTAGGTACCGGTGACAAATTTCTTCGGTTCAGTTATGGAGACAATTCATACTGGTTCAGCTTACGAAGCCTTCTCAAGTAGAATCTCAGATAAGAAGATCAAATCAGACATGCCCCTCAATCAGCTCTCCGGGGAAGATCTTAAAGAAGATGTTCAGAATGCAAACAACCAAAAGGATGTGTTGAAAACTGAGGTTAGTGTCTACACTTCCTTTCCTATGATTAACATATTCGCCTACTGGCGTGTGTACATCCTTCTTGATGGGATTGAGATCTTTTGTTATGTTTGTTGATATTGCAGAAGCAAAAATGCCCATATACACAAATGCGAGCAGACCTCCACGAGAAACTGGTCAGGACTGAAAATGTGTATACAGTGGTTAATCTCAGCATAGCGGTGATGGTTCTCGTTGTAATGATGGCATCATCTCTGTTATGATGATGTCTCTCTGAGAAGCTCTTAGTATAGGAAAATCATTAATATCATCTCCTCTTCACTTAACCTCTGTTGTATGATCGTCACTGTTGCAGCTTCACATCATTGTATTATTACTCTATCTCAATGTTTTCTTCCTCGCTACCAAAAAAAGATGACGAACTCAATATTAATTTTTTGTTGTCAATACAAAGGTTACTACAAATGTTTGTTGACTTTACTTTTGACAGAATTGACTCGTATTTATATACGTGTAATTCTTAAGTTCCATAAGACTTTATATATCTCAAGAGATGTCTTTACAAGATTTTTTATAACAAAATATTTCAGGAACCATAAGACTTAATGATAAAATATGATTATTAATTCGTAATTATTCTTTAAATTTGATATATTCTGAATTTTTTTATTATATATAATTCTAAACAAAATAATATTTTTATAAAGTATTTTTTAAATATACATTTAATTGACAAATTTAAAAGAGAAGTCACTTTGACACGTGACACTCACACAGTCCTTCTCAGAAGAATTCTAGCGATTCTATTGATTGATTTTTTAGAATTTATTTTTTGATTTATTTTTAAAAATTAAATTTTCGTGAAAATATATGTCTATTAAGTAAATTTCTTATTCTTTTATGATTTCATTTATTGGTAACTATATACATGTGATATTGCATTAAATGTGTATGTTCTTTATTTCCTAATTAGTTAATTCGGAAATATGATGATTACCTTATTTTGCTATCAGTTACTTGCACAAATTTATATGATAATGGTGATTTGAGTTAGAAAATCCCAAAACTATTTTTCATTTAGAAAACCAGAAATATAATGGTAATTTGAGATTTAGAAAATCCAAAACTATTATCTTTATTATATTTATATATATATATATATATATATAAATATATGGATCTTAAAAATGTAATTTACTATATATATACATTTGTTTGGTTTTTTCATTAACAGATAAATAACACAGATGAAAGACCGTTTGTAGTTGACTACAAACCATTTTTCAGTTTGTTTCAATAGCGATATGCAAATTTAATATTATTTTCATCTCGATAAAATTTAGAAATCTATTAAATTATTTTATATTGTACAATTGCTAAAAAAATTGACACTTTTTTGCAGGTTTCTATGGGATTTTTTTAATTCATAATTGTTCTTCTTATTTTATATTACTTATGAATTATGTTTAAATTTTTATCACATTTTCTATGGGATTGTGATATCTATAAGATTTTTATCACATTTTTTAATATGTCTCTGTCTCCTGTATATTTTTCTTACATTTGTTTTTTAATAGTTAACTTTTATTAAAAACATACTAATGATGTTAATTTTTTTTTACTTTTTTAGTTAACTTTCATAGATTAATTAAATGAGCACTCTCATACGGATTTGAAATTGTTTTATTCTTATATACTTTTTGTGACTTTTTTAGTTTTTGTTTCAGTTTAATATTGAATTTAGTTCACACACTTTATGTGTATATGTTTTAAAACATAATTTTTATCACATTTTCTATGGGATTGTGATATCACATTTTTTAATATGTCTCTGTCTCTTGTATATTTTTCTTACATTTGTTTTTTAATAGTTAACTTTTATTAAAAACATACTAATGATGTTAATTTTTTTTACTTTAGTTAACTTTCATTTGTTTTATTCTTATATACTTTTGTGACTTTTTTAGTTTTTGTTTCAGTTTAATATTGAATTTAGTTTACATACTTTATGTGTATATGTTTTAAAACATAATTTTCCTTTTAAAAATTAAGCGACAAAGAGCCTAATTAAACCGATCCAAAAACAAACCGAACTGAATATAAATTGAACTGGACATAAACCATACTGAACCAGAATAAATAAGGTTTATTTTAGTTGAAAAAAATATATTAAAACCGAACTAAACAAACCAAACCGAAAAAGTAACGATTTGTCCACCCCTACTACATCCTAGAGATTTGCGCAAATCTTGTCTTAACATTGAAACTCTCACTTGTTCCACTAACTCCTACATTTGAACTCAATAGATACTCATGTCTCAACATTATACTATACTTTTATACCCGCACAGGGTGCGGGTACGTCACCTAGTCTCTGATTAATTGATTCGGCACTAGGCGCTACCCGACCGCACGCGTAGCGCCTAACGAGTTTTCGAACACTGCTAACGAGTTTTCGAACACTGCTATTTTCTAGGGAGATGTCGTTCGTTGGATGGAACAAACGAACAATTACTGCCCAGAACTCTCTTGACTTGTCATTTTGCTGATATCACACACGATACAATTAGTTAACCACATCTCTTCTTTCTTTACCTGATGGTTTCTGGTTCTTTACCCTACAATCAAGTTTAATCCAAGCTAGCTAACTGGTAAAAGAAATTGTAAAGCTTCTTCTACTGCTGCCACCTAACAGTTGCCACCTAGCTACTAGAAACTAGTATTCCAAATTAAATCGTTTAGATACGCAAATGTTCCAACTACACAGTTCATAGTCTCTCTTAGCAGTAATCTAGAATTTTAGTTACCTAATGCAAATACCAATGAAAACTCCTAAAAATATAGTATGAAATATAGAAGACAGGAAAAGTGAATCATGCAAACTGAGATTCAACTTCAAAACAAAGATGCAAGATAGGTGTTCATAAACTGCCAAGAAAAAAGCAGCAAAACCAAAATGAGAGACATGTTCTGAATCACAACCAAAGGATAACAAGTGAAGCAAACAACCACAAATGATAAAAAAAAAAATCATTCATAGATCCAAGAATGAAGACTGCTCTGCCAGTTCACAGGTCCATCAGGGAACCACAACGCAGCTTCCTTGTTAGCACTCTCAACAGAGTCACTCCCATGGATCACATTCCTGCCGATGTCAATAGCAAAGTCGCCACGGATGGTTCCTGGTTCAGAAGCTGCAGGGTTAGTTGCTCCAATGATCTTCCTTCCTGTCAAGACAACGTTCTTCCCTTCCCAGATCATAGCAACGACTGGTCCAGAGATTATGTAGTCAACAAGGCTGGTGAAGAATGGCTTGGCAGACAAGTCACTGTAGTGTTTCTCAGCGAAAGGACGGTCCACAGTGATAAGCTTAAGACCTAACAATACCAACAATCATAACTTTAAACCAATAAAAATTGAATAAGTGCAATTAATTTTTTTGAAATTTGCAATTAATTTATTATTATTTAATAAAATATGCATCGAAAATATTAAAAATAAACCTTTTTGAAACAATTTTTTTCCTAAAATATGTAACTTAATGAACAAGAGGGAGTACCTTTCAAAGTGAAACCCTTCTTTTCGAACCTGCTGATGATTTCACCTATCTGAAGATGGAGCAGAGATACTTGTAAGTAAAGTTAAAGATTTGAAGACAACTAGAAGACAAAACAAGTTACATAGAAGAAACAATGAAGAAGATTAGTAGAAAACGTACCAGACCCCTCTGGACTCCGTCGGGCTTGATCATGATGAAAGTTTGTTCCATTGTGAGATATTTTGTAGTAGTTCTCAGTCGTCGGCGATAGCTAGATAGATGCAATGAAGAGAAGACGGGAGGTTTATATAGGAGGAACCCTAAATGGCGAGTATATGCGCTCTCGCTGTAGAGGTTTCAGCGTGATGGGCCCTATTTTCTTCAACTTCATCGATCATTTATTCAAAGGCCCATCCATAAAGCTTCTTCACTTGAAACTAGAACGTTAACATATTTGGGCCTTCGTACCAAACGTTTTTTTTGTCAAAATTGTTATATATAGCTTTGCATAGGACTGGGAAAAAGACCTGGATCAGAAAAACCGAACCGAACCCGATCCAAAAAAGTAATATCGAATTCGAACCATACTTGATTCAATATCCGAATGGGTTAAAAATTTTGGTATATAAAGAACCGAAACCGACACCGACCCGAACCGAAGTATTTTGGGTACCCGAATATATCCGAAAGATATTTATATACCTATATATTAATTATTTTAGATTTAATGTATATAAAAAACATTCAATATATATAAAATACTTTGAAGTTGTTCAAAATATTTGTAAATAGTCAAACATATGTCTAAAATTGCTAAAGTACACTCAAAAAAATCAAAAATACTTAAAAACAATTATTGATTCACAATCCAAATATTCAAATCAAACTAATTTTGATGTTAATTATAGGTATTTTGACTTATGTTATTCAATTTTTGTAATATATTATTTTGTTTATAGATTTTTAGAAGTTTAAAGTATATAATCAATTTGAAAATTTTAAAAGTAATTTAAATGGGTTATCCGAATCCGAACCGAACCTGCAAATATCCGAACCGAACCCGAACCAAAATTTAAAAATATCCGCATGGAACTAAAATTTGTGAACCCAAAAACTCGAAACCGGAATAGATCCGAACCGAACCCGAATGGGTACCCGAACGCCTACTCCTTTGCACATCTGAATTAATTTGGGGAATAGGCTGATATTGCAGACGTTTCTATTCCTTGTAGGTTCATTGTGTTTCGCTCCAGATTGGAAGATTATAATGAAATAAAAAATTGTTACTAGGAAATTCCTTTATTCTATTACTTGATTTGCATAGCCTACATGTTTGCATCTCAATATGATCCTAGGAGCATTTTTATCGGCAAAACACTATCCCGAGTATCATAATATATCCCTTATTTAAGTGTCGGTTCTTAATTTTTTTAGTTAAAAGTTAAGAGAAAGTTTCTTATATTCCGCTAAAAACCCCATCTTAAGAACCCTCATTAATTATGTTATAATCTCTTATTTAAGAGATAATTCTTAGATTTGTTGAAGCTGCTCAAGCAAATCAGTTAAAATCAAGATTAACTGTTTAAGTACAATATACTTACAATTTAGCAGACTTGCAATTGGGAACCTAAAAGTAAGTTCTCCTTGAACCCAAGCGCATTGTGCCACCCATATGAGTTGTTGATCCCTTAAAAACAGATTAAACAATGTTAAAAAGACATTTGTGAAATTAAAAGCATGTAGTCAGTCAAATGAAAAGACTATATGGTATAGTACTTTTGGCATAAAACTGACACAATGGCTTGACGTTTCTCTGGTGCAAACTCTGTGCTGTTTGCATCCTCAAAGCCAAGAATGGAGCTGGCGAATTCAACAACAGCCAGCTGCATTCCTAGGCATATGCCAAGGAAAAGGACTTGGTTTTCTCGGGCGTACTTTGTAGAAGTATCTTCCCTTGCACTCCTCTATCACCAAAACCACCTGGTACTAGAATACCATCAGCACCCTGAAAAAAGCAAAATGCTGAGTCCCAATATATTTTCTGAATCGGCGTAACAGTCTCTGTTAGGATTAACCTACCTTCAAAAGATCCCATGCAGCTTTATGGACATCTGGCGCCTGCAATGGCAAGTCATACAAAGGTTCATGAGAATAAATACAGTTGTAGCACACTGAGAGAGAAACGAAGAAAAGACTCACTTCGTTTGCTGTAATCTCTTCAAGGTCACTAGCTGCAACCCAGTCTACAACAAGCTTCTTGTGACATGCAACAGACGCATGCAAAAGGGCTTGTAGACAAAAATGAAGATCAGAATATACACCATTTTTAAGGAAACGAGGGCATAAAGTAAATGTTGGATTTAAGATGAATAACATTTCTCCTTTGCTCCTTAACTTATAAGTATGCTATAATCTCTTATATGGTTTATCTACAGTTAGTAAGCCGATCAGTTAAAATCTAAAAAATACTAAGAAACCGTCTCTTAGTCGAAACTAAGAACCCCAATCAAAAGACTAAGGTTAATCAACCGTCTCTTAGCCAAAAATATATAATAAAATGTTAAATAATCAATTAAAAACCCCGGCAAAAAAACCATGGCTAATCAAGCTCTTACTTTCTGGTTTTATATTCCATCTGTACCTTATTTTTCTGGAGTCATATTTCGTATCTTTCTTAGAACTTCACAAAGAAAATGTAAAGACCCAAAATTTGGTCTCAGATTGTGTTATCATGCTAAACCCCAATGTTTACCTATAAATATCCATCATCTAGCATTGTTTTCTTTTCCTGCAAGAAAGAGAGAGAGAGAGAGAGTTCAAGAAAAAGAGAATGGGAATGGGAAACCTTACACCTGAGCGACTCCCTTGTTGCTCACCCCTCTTTGGTGCTTTTGGGCTTTTGGGATTTTACGTTTCGTATTTTTGGATTTCAGAAATTTGTACTTTTGGGATTTTATAGCTAATGGGCCTTCCCGCTATTGAGATTTTATCACTTGCATTTAACTCGAATTTTCGAAATTGTTTTAATTACTTGATTTTTCCGACGTGAACTTTAACTTTTCAATATTTTATAACGGAGACTTATATTATTATATTATTATTTTATTATTATCGGTTTCAAAGTAGGTGTCACATAAAAGGTCAGGCTAGCATGCGCCAGGTTGTGGAATGGAGTTATTCCTTTATAGTGTATGATTATTAATTTTCCAGTGTCAATACATCGTTCAGTTCGCAGTGAATGCACAAATATATTAGGCCTTATGCATATTATAACCAAATTTTGTTACTTATAAACATTTTACATACACGAACTGTTAACTAAAACTATTCTTATATATATTGATAGAATAATATAAAATCTTATTTGAGTTTCATCAACCTGGCGCGGATATAATTTTATTTTTGAAATATTATTTTATTATGAAGATATAAGATTTAAATTGACCCAAGACTGGAGTTCTCTCACACTCCTAGGTACTCAATAACAAGATGACCCAACACTCACAACAAACTTGTCGTCACTTATCCTTTTATAAGTAGGATGTAGTCTTAGACCATCAAATTAACTAGCTCAATTAGAGGTGGGCAGAAACACCGAAATGAACCAAATTGAACCGACCTAGCCAAATCTAAACAGTTTAGACACAAATGAAACCAAAGTATATGTCTGGCTAAAGGTTTTATCAACTCAAATAGTTCGATTTAAACCAAACTGAAAACCTGAACTGTTTATTTAACTAGATAAACTAAATATATTAATAATATTAAGATTTAAGATATTTTAAAACTTAACTCAAAAATTAAACATAATTTATACATTGTATTTCTAAATGAATAGAATAAACACAATTAACAGTTGTGAATTTTATATACTATCATCAAAACCGAAAATTGCATATGATCTGTGTTAGGATTGAAGTCAATAATATAAAATTGTTAAATTTTATCTTCTACATTTTTATTATAATGTTTGGTTTTACATTTAAATATGAATTTAGTGTCAAACGATGATTTGTTTTATGTTTTATAAATTTTATTTTTTCAACTGAATTAGAACAAAATAAAAAAACCAAGTTAGTTGAAATGAACATACACAAAAAAAACCGAACCAAACAAAACCAAACGAACACAAACCAAACTAAACTAACTTTGGTTGACTTCAGTTAAAATTTTCTTAGACCCAAACAGGCCCAACTGAACCGAACCCAATTCAAACCCAAATTTGAACCAGAATGCACACCCCTAAGCCGAGTCTTCTTAAACAGAGTCTTGATTGCCGTTGAAACACTATGTATACATCAGAGTATTTGTTTGAGTTTAAGTTCAATACTCAATACTTGGACACATCCCTCAGTTTTCATGTTCAAGCTCTAACCTCTAATATGTTTGACTCCAAATTAAAAGTATATTAAGACGTGGTGTCACACAATACCTTTACCTGGTCCTGAGTATCGATGTGGCTATGGCATCTGGACTGGTTCAATTTTTGTTTTGTTTTGTTTTTCTTTTCTCTTGGACGTAATTTCCATGTTCTCTTGTCTCTTTTATTGTCTATCACTAAATTAATAAATCACGTAATTATATATATACTCGTCCCTGGACGGCGACTTTTAACAAAGTCAGAACAAGCTAAAGAATGGAAAGTGGCTTGGCTCCCACCGTTGAAGTTCTTGATGATATCAATGAAAATACATCAGATCATGATCCAGCTCTTCCTATTGGAGGAAAGACTAATAGAAAAGCAAGACGTAGAGCATCATTGTTTCGGAGGTTCCTTGCTTTTTTCTGTTGCACTCCTACCACGATGTCCATGTCGAGGAGGTGCAGTATCCAAATTATTGGTTCTGGGTTATCTTCACCATCATCAGATGGATCAAGTCCTAAAGCCCAGGTAGGTCTAATAAGTGTTAATTCTCCCAGTGACGAATCTTATTTGTCACCATCTGGTGAAAATTTTTCAAAACAAGACAAAATTTATGTACTGGCAGATGATTTATGTTTTGATTAAAAAAAATTGGAACAAGACAGAAGAAGCATTCAGAGCCCTGCGTCTGAAGACTATGTAACTTCAGATGAATTACTAGACAGATGGAACATTTTTGGCCCCAGTTCAGAAGAATCTGATACCACAGAGAGTGAAGATTCAACATCAAATGGCTATGTAACAGCAGATGAAAGCGTAGGTGAAACAGTTTCAGAACAAGACAGAGGAAATACTCCAAGCCATGCTTCTGAAGAATCTGATTCCACAGAAAGTGAAGATTCAACATCACATGGCTATGTAACCGCAGATGAATGTTCAGATGAAACAGTTTCAGAACATGGCAGAAGAAGCATGCCAAGTAGTTAAGATTTCTACTTGGCATGCTTGACACTAGACAGCTCCACTCAAAGCACATGCTTCACTCAAAGCCCCTCTTCTGGACAACCTCGACGATCTATCGAATCGACTTTCCCAAGTAATAGGACACCCCCGCGTCGTGACAATGTTTCCAATTTTCGATTAACATATGAAGACATCAAGAAACTGAATGGTGTATCTGGATAACACTTTTGAGTTTTTTTTTTCTAGTTTTGATTCTGAATAATAATGCTTTTGAGTTTTTTTTTTGTTTTTTTTTTTGTTTCTGGTTTCCATTGTGAATCTGGATAATGACAACTTTGTTTTTGGTTAATGTTTTGAATTTACATCTTCATCACTTAATAATAGGAACCGATACATTGTTTAAAGATCTTGTCTTTTCATACTAAGAAACTGTATTGACATTTAAGAAATCATTTAAATATCTAGCGATCTGTTTTCATCACTGAAATTATTTATGGTAGTACCGACCCCGAGGGGAAAAATTACAAGCCTAGGCTTTCTACCCTATTTAATTTAAACTAGGTGGACGGTCCACACGCATATGCGGACATTAATATAATCTATACATTACATGAAGAAAAAATAATATAAATGTATAAATATATTGTAATTTTCTTTCTCTTTTACATAGATATTCTGTTTTTTTAATATATTTTTCTATTTTACTCATTTCGTTTCTCCTTATATTTTTTTCACACATTCGTTTTGTTTCTTATGTATCTCTCTTTGCATTATTTTTGTATGTCTTTGTACACCTCTCTCGCTCTCTTTTCTCTCTCTCTCTCTCTCTCTCTCTCTCTCTCTCTCTCTCTCTCTCTCTCTCTCTCTCTTAGTTGATCAAATAATCTCAAAATCTCTCAAACATTCACTCTCTCACAATCACCTATATTCATTCTCTTACCCTCATCCTTAATATGATCCTCAATATTTCATTTTAAAACTCTTTCTATCTCTTTTTTGTTGCAAAATTTCACCAGATTTTGTTAAATCTTCTAAACACTTTGACATAGTATTAATAAATGATTTCAGAATCTATCTCACTTATATTCAGTCTCTCACTTGTATTCTTTTTCATCTTCATTATGATCATAACCAACTCTAGTTCTTATCATCACCATATCCCCCTCTCTTTCTTCCTTTCTAACATATTTTTTTATTTAGAATTTAATATAAAATCACAATTGACTAACCAAATAAATTCATTATTAAATTCTCTCTAATTTTCACATTATCTTATCAAACATTGATTCCTTTGACCAAGATTTTCATTGAAAAAATAAATATTTTATTATTAGTTTTGTTTTTTTTAATTACTTCATTACATACATATTTTAAGTAAATATAAATAACTGTATTTCAAAAAATTAAATTTGATTAAATAATTATATAACATAAAATATCTTAATTCTTAAATAATGTGATGTCATTATTTTAGACATAGATTAATATAAACATGAGATTCAACAGTTTTAATATATCAAAATAACATGTTTCTAGTTGTATAAATTTTGTTATAACTTTGTTATCATATATTTTTAAAGTTTATTACACCAAAAAAATACTTATCATTATTTTAAAATAATTTGTTTTAAAATTAATTTGCGTTATATTTTGCATCTTCAGCATTAAATTTTTTATAACTTATCATTTATATTTATCTTCCTTGCTCAATTTTTCCTTATGTTGTATAAACACCTAAAAATAATTAGTTTACAATTATATTAATACGTTAAAAATATTTTGGTATACAAATAAAAAATACAAAATAACGAAGAATACAACAAAAGGTTTTATTATTATTCACTCATGTTTTTACTTATGTCTCTTTTCTTTTTTTCTTATTAAAAATAAACATGCCAATTTTTTATACTTAAAGCTATATGAATTATATAAATAGAATATTAACTGTAATCTTGTATTAATATAATGTTTTGATATTTGTAATTTTATATTATAATAAACTTTTTATTTATTCATATTTTTTAATATGACATACCATATAATTTTCTGT